CTAAAGAAGCTCACAGAACTCAGAGAAACATTTTACCCTCTAGATTAGATCACTGATTTATCATAAAGGGATGTAACTCAGGAATGACCAGGTGGAAAAGACACATAGAGCAAAATATGTGGGAAGGGGCAGAGTTTCCATGCCCTCTCCACATGATTGATTAAATCATTGACCATTGGTGACTAAACTCAAATCTCCAGCCCCTCTCCCCTACCCTGAGGTTAGGGGCGGGTAGGACTGAAAGTTCCAGCCCTCTCATCATGTGATTGGTTCCTCTGGCAACCAGCCTGTTTCCTTAGCTTACCTAGGGACTTTCCAAAAGTCATCTCATTAACATAACAAAAGACACCTTTATTGCTCTTGTTGCTTGGGAAATTCCAAGAGTTTTGGGAGATTTGTGCCAGAAATGGGCACCAAAACCAAATATATACTTCTTATTATACATCAAAATGTATTTATAGACTCTCTGACCTTATAAATCCTTCTTCCCTAAGGTAGAATTCAGAAGGTTTGCTTCACTAACCCCTTAGCACTTAGGCACAGGCCTGTATTCTAGGTGCCACCAATAAGATGTATTCATGCAGACTTGGATATAAATGAGCCAATATGGGCAAGGAGGCATTGCTCAAAATACATGTTGCTGGTGCAAGTAGCAGCAGAGGCATCTGGTTGCAAGAGTGGTGGTGGTTGAAAAGTCAAATTACTGGCACCAGACTAGCATCAGTGCTGGCAGAATTACTAGTTGCAAGGAGTTGAGTTCCCCGCAGCAATCCAAGTTATAGCATTTACTCCTTGGTCATAGCAGTGGCAAGAGTTTTCTCTTGTTTCGGCTCCCCAGAATTTTTAGGAACATTATTTCTGGAAACAGCCTTGACCCTGATTCTTTGGGCTTTGCAACAATTCTAACTCATCCTATATTCTTTAGTTGATCTACGTTTTTGCTTGATAAGGCAGAATCAATTTTTGTTGCACACAACTAAGCTTTTTCTGATTTAAAAAAAAAATTGGTACCAGAGTTGGGTACTGAAAGTAACAGAATTTAAAACATGGGGGAGGAAGGGCCTGATCTTTACTGGCTGAAGCAGATCACCCTTTTTATTCAGTTGCAAACATTTGGTCAAACTGTTGCCTGCTCTACCTTAAAATTTCATGCCAATTGGGATTATAGAGTCAGAGATATTATTGGAAAATTCCAGAAATTTAGTCCATGCTGGCTACTTCCTGACATTTTTAATAAAGTCCTGTAAGGAAGAGATGATCTCAGACAAGACCCAGCCATTTGTAAGCCAATGGAAGGGATATGGCTTTGCTAAGAGAGGCACTATCTGACACTGACTGAGAATCCCATAATGTAAAGTCTTAAAATTGAAAAAGCCCAAGTAACAGAAATGAAACTAGTGTTAGCAGGAAATTAGATCAGTGCCTCCGGCTATTGTCTAGAACCTTCCTTAAGAAGTCTCTCAAATAAAGGAAGGGGCACCAACACGCAATATAATATTAAATGAGGTGTCTCTCCAACCCAGGTTACTAAGAATCACAAAGAATCAGCCAGTAAACCAAGGACTAGAGGGTTGGGCAGAGAGTGGGTTCAAGATGAGACAATTTAGGCTTACACACCATGTCTAGGTGCAATCTTTTGCTGTGGCTACCTACACATGGAAATCAAAGTTGGATCTCTATTACATTTCTGAGGGATGTATGTTTTCCAAACAACCTAAGCCTGGCTTATGATAGCCTGTGACTGTTAAACCCTAAAAACAATCTTTGGAGGTAAAACTATCACCAAGAAAAGGGCTACTAAAGCTGAGTACCCACAGAAAAGACACCTACCCCAAAACCTGTCTCAGGTGTTGCTAACAGGGAGTATCCTCTCACTTCTGGGCCTGATGGGTGGCCTGCACTTTATCAGTCAGAGATCCCAGAGTTAAAGGTAGATGCAGTAATTTTTGGACTTTGGACTCTACACAGAGTATATGTATAGAAAGAAAGGCATGTGTAAGTGTTGGGTAACTAAAAGATGCTTTTAGTTGGCAGCCCAATGGCCACTCCCAACTCTCTTCTTCCCTGCTTTCCTCTAATAGCAAAGCTAAAATCTATATATCTTCCCAGGGTCCTTTGCACTGAGGGTAGCTATACAACCCAGTTCTGGCCAATATATATCATTGGGTGGGACTTTAAAAAGTAACACTTTTTAAAAGAGATAGGCTTAGTTGACATAAATAAGGCAATTAAGCTTTTCCTTTAAAAATATCAAAAAATATTACATACAAAGCTGAAGTCTCCTTTGACCACCCCTCAACTCTAGTTTCTTCCCCTCCCCTCCTCTCCTGTTATCAGCTTGGTGTGCACCCTTCCAGGTCATTTCCATGCACTTGAATATATTTTTAATGGTATATATCCTATATATATGTATATGTATGTATTATGTGTGTATATAGATAAATGATAGCTAGAAATATATCATAAGCAGTATAATATTATATATGAAGTGTAATATTGTTGGGGGTTACATATGTGGTATCATACTGAGGGAATCATTCTGCAACTTGCTTTTCTCTAAAACAAAGTGTTACTTTTTAAAACATAAAAAGTATGTTTTAGAGATATTTTCATGCCATACTTATATATCTAGATCATTCTCTTTACCTAACTCATGGTTTTTTCCATGGTATGAATGCTCTACAATTTATTTAGCTATTTTTTATTGATGGACATGTACACTGTTTCCAGTTTTACTATTTACTTCTTACTCTCAGAAATAACTCTGGAGTAAAAACTCTTCGTGCACATGTGCAAGCATTTCTCTAGGGTAAATTCTTAAAAGTGTAATTGCTGGGTCATAGGCTATACACATTTTTCATTTTTATGTCCTTTTAAAATTTTAATAGATCCTGCCAAATTTCCCTCCAAAGTAGCAGTGCAAATTTATAGTCTCTCAGCAGTGCATAAGAATCCCCCACACTTTCTCCAACTTAAGTTTTTTTTTTCCAATCTGATGTGTAAGAAATAGCTTCTGGTTGTGTTCATTTGCAATTTTCTGATGAGTAGTGAGTTTGGCTTTGTTTTTCCAACTCCTATCTCAAAAGGAGCTTGTTTTGGCCAGAGAAGTTCAGTGTTCAGGTCAAGACTTGCATCATGCAAAGGGAGGGTTTCTGGAGCAGGAACCCCCAGGGCTGCGCCCTAATGTCTTTGCTGCAGTAACTCAGGGACATTAGTGAACCTTCCTAATTCACAGAGCAGTGTGGGGAATTAAATAAGATAATGCCCAGAAGGGATTTAGCCCAATGCCTGGTACATCAAACCACCCAATAAAGGCCAGCTATTGTCACCAACCTATTATTGTTATTATGAGCACCATTTCCATTCTTCTGACATGGCTTCTGGGGATCCCTGCCTCCTGGTATTCACACCCTTGTGTAATCTCCTCCCCTTGAGTGTGGGCTGGTCTTAGTGACTTGCTTCTAAAGAACAGAGTACAGCAAAAGTTTTGGGATATCACTTCCACAATTAGGTGATAAAAGACGGTGGCTTCTATCTTGCTGACATACCATGTGTATACACTGATAAAGTAAGCAGCCATGTTGGAGAGGCCCACATGGCAAGGAGCTGAGGGCCCCCTCACACCATCAGCCAGTGAGAAGCTAAGGCCAACAGCCCAGGGGAGCTGAAACCTGCCAACAATCATGCGAGTGAGCCTGAAAGCAGATCCTTCCCCAGTCAACCCTTCTGAGGACTACAGCCCTGGATGACATCTTGACTAGTCTGGAGGGGACCCTGAGTCACAGAACCCAGCTAAACCATGCCCAGACTCCTTACCCACAGAAACTGTCATGTAATAAATGTCATTTCAAGACACTAAGTTTTGGAGTAATTTGTTACACAGCAACAGGTAACTAATACACAATACTGGTTTCTTGAGGAAACAGACTCTATTGACCACCTTTCTTGATCTGTAACGTGAAACTCAGAATCTCCCCTAAAAACATGGCACTAATGTTTATTTGACTAAAAATAAACCTGTTGAACAATTCCCCAAGACAGGAAGGTGCTATGAGTAATTTCAAGTGAAAAAAGCTTCCGGGTATTCTCACAGCCATTAGCTTGCTTCGCCACCCCCTGTTTATACAGGTGTCAGGGTGGGTGGGGGGTGTTGTAGAGTGACAGAAGGGCCAAAGGCTTGACAGTCAGGCAGACATGGTTTTCAGGGTCACCTCTGCTACTTCCTAGCTGGACCACCTCAGGCATGTCTCTTCTGCTTTCCGAGTGTTCATTTCCTCAACCATCAAGGCAAGTTTAAAAACGAAAAGAACCTCAGTGACCTCACATGGTTTTACTGCAGGGATGGCCGAGATATATGCCATCTCTGAGCACCCAGCATACAGCAGGCAGGGAAATACTACTCTTTTCCGCCAATGACTTTTTTGACCTTGAAATTTCTGCCCTTTCCGAACCAGAGAAAACACGGAAAAATAACACCATAGTGGAGGAGAAATGCCAGCTCTGCTGAGCTTGTATGAAAGAGAGCAGAGGCCTAGGCTTTTCCTCACAAGATTAAGAATGAAAGTAGATGAGGTGTGGGAATCCACTCAGGAATGGACAGTATTACAAGAGAACATCATCAAAAGGGGAAAAAGGAGAGGATTGGGAATGTTACTTAGAAAGGTGAGAGTTGATTTTTCTTTTAAATTCTCAGTTAATCTTTCCAGGCACCTTCTAAGTAAATAAGGACTGAAAAGTAAAGGTCCACTGGCTTCAGAGGGACCTTATCTGGGACACTGTTCCTTCTTTTTTTCAAAACAAATACTCTCTCTAAAACCACAAACCTGCACCTGTTTCCCCTGATTTAAGGACCCCAAAAATGATGTTTTCAATTAGTAGATGCCTTGCTTTCAAAACTTGATCTCCGGCCAAAGCTTTATGGTTAAAATATTCATTTTCTCTCACCACGCTCCCGCAAACAGAAAGATCCAAAAGAGAAGGAAGCATCAACTGTTTCTTACCTTTCATTAAATTTCTCACTGTGAAAAATTCAAGCTTTTCCCTCCATGGAAGCCTGAATCCTTTGAAACTGGAGCAAGAAACAGCCCCAGGCCAAATCTGGCGCCGGCCCAGACAGCCAAGTCTGAGGATGGCTCGGAGGACGGGTGATGATGGCTTGGGTTTCAGCTTTGGCCAAAGCCTGCTTCTGTCTGCTTTCCTCCCCATCCAGAGCATCGAGCGCTGTCTAGACAGTCAACGCCGTAGATTATTTCCATTTCAGCTCAGCTCCTTCCTTCACCTGGTCTTGAGTGACAGGGATGCATTGGTAAGAACTTCAGGATCGTTCCAAAAAGATTCTTGAATTCTCTGCCTCCAACTCGGGGGATGGGAGGAGGGGGTCATCTTTTGTGTTATGAAAAGTGGGTGCAGAAAAGGAGTAACTGAGTGAGTCACTCCTACCACCCAGGCCCTCTCTGGGTGAAGGCAGCTTTGAAAACAAGTCAGGCAGGTGACTTTTTTTTTAAATGGGAGGTTTTGGGGAATCACAGTTGATGCTTGCTTTTCTGGCTTTTCTACATCCAACCACACATGGTCAGCCCAATCCTTCAAGATTGGCATTCTTACTATATAAGTAGAAGGGGCAGGTGTCCCCTCCCACCAAGTGTAGCCCTCTAGGTAGAGTGGCCAGAGTTAGCCAATAAAAATATACAATGCTCTTATAATTAGCACTCACAATGTAGGTAGGTCATGGGGAAGGCAGTATAGCACGGAGAAGACAAGTAGTGACTCTATAGCATCTTACTACACTGATGGACAGTGAATGCAATGGGGTGTGTGTTGGCGGGTGCTTGATAATAAGGGTGAATGCAGTAACCACAATGTTGCTCATGTGAAACCATCATAAGATTGTGTATCAATGATACCTTAATTTAAAAAAGGACAATACACAATGCCCATTTAAATTTGAATCTCAGAGAAATAACCATTACATCTACTAAAAAACTGTTTTAAATCCGAGATTCAATGTAACTGGGCATCCTGTGTTTTTCCCTCAACCCTGTTTGTGAGGAATTTGCCTATGGAAGGAGCGACCCAAAGGCACAGAGGGAGAGATGGCTAGGGAGGCCTTCGGCGGGGCTGAGCCCAGGCGCGAGCACCAAGGCCCAGTGCTGGTAGCACCGCAGGTGACCGCAGGTGTCCCCTGGCATGGTGCCGGGAGCTCTGCTCTAAAAGGAACCGTCACCGCGGGTTCTCGGCGCCTCAGGTCCCTCCTCCCTGCCTAAGCTGCTTCTTCCACCTTCTTCCTGATTCTGAGAATCATCCAAGAAATTCTTTTCCTGATAATGCATTTTTAATTGTAGTTTTCCCGAATGTATCTCTTTTCCCAGATATAAACAAACAAACAAACAATAAGGAGCGCAGGACTGTCTCTGCTCAGTCCCTCTCAGGGCAGGCAGGGCCCAGAGCCCCACCGCCAACCCCAACCTCTCAGAAAGGCCCGGGCCTTGTCCTTGTGGGGGGTTGGATACGGGAGAGTCCCCTCTGCTCGCCCTTGTCTAGGAGAACGGCAGCAATGCTTCTGGTCGCCCTGGCTCCCTTCTCCTCCGCTATTGGTGGGTTCACAAGGAAAAGGGCCCTTCAAGTGGGTCGATTTTAGTGCAATGGGCGCTGCTGACCCAAAGCGGGGTGCGTTTTATTTGCCCCTGAAGGCCGGTGTTGGCAGGGGCAGGGTGGTTTCTGAGCTCCTTTCTCCACCAGTAAGGAGCCCCTAGGGGCCCCTTCCGGCTGAGAGCCGGCCGATCGGGTCGCCTGCTAAAGCATTCGGTGAGGCGCGGGGCAGTGGGGCATAGCCCCGCGCGAAGTGAGAGGGCCTGGCGCGCTGCGCCGTCGCTGGGCTCATTCCTTTAGGGACCTGCCTCCACCCGCTGGCTCCGCCCTCCACCTCTCCCTAAGCCATTTCCTCTCTGCATCCCCTTGTTTAAAAACAAGGAGTTCGGAGCTGTACAAATGCAGTTTGGACCCTGGCCGTTCCACTCCTTGGTGGTATGATCTCAGTCACTGCCACCCCCTGCCTGAGCCTCAGGCTTTCTCATCTGTAAAAAGGGGGTAATAAATGAATCTAGCTTATGGGATGTGGCAAGGATGCAGGTAACTGACGCACGTGAAGTGCTTTATCAGGACCCTGGACATCCCCTAGCCTCTGCTCATGCTCTGTCTTGCAGAATCGGGACCTTTCCCCAACCCAGGAGGCAGTTTGCTAAGTCTGCCAGTGTGGTGGTCTTGTCTTCACCCCCTGGACCACAGGCCCACAGACAGCCCATTGGGATGCCACAGCATAGTCTCAACCAGTGCCAGACAGTCATAAATACTAGTAACGATAATTGTTCCCATTTCTTTGGTGTTATGTCCCAGAAACTGCAGGGGGGAAAAACATAAAATGACAAAAAAAACCCTACCCTCACGAAGTTTGCATTCTTTGATTCAGTTCTCACGTTCAACCCATGAGGTAAGTACTTTTGCCCATTTTATAGATTAAGAAATTGAGGCTGAGAGAGGGTAAGTGACTTGCCCAAGGTCACCCAGCTGAGTAAGTGAACTGGGATTCAAACCCAGACTCCAGAGGTTCTCCCTTTATTACTACTTGGTTTCCCTTAAGCTTCACGAGAAGACTGTGAGTTTGAAATTATCCAGTATCATTTCGCCACTAGTGAGGATAAAAGGGTAAGTCATTCACCACAAGCCATGAGACTGGTCAGGCCCAGAGCTTCAAGTGAACACTGGTGTGTCTAAATCCATAAGGCTACGGAGTCCTCATCATACTGCCAGCAGGGCCACCTCTGCACCCCCCTGAAGGACACACAGGCCTGGTATGTCACAGGCCCCTCATAAACACTCTTGTTGGAAAAGACCCTGAGCTGGTCTCAGCTGCAATGAGAACAACAGAGATAAAAACCATGCAAGAGTCAGGGCATCCACTTCAAGGCCAAAGGGACTTGACACTACATTTCCTCTTCACCCCATTTCTATTTCTTTCTCCCTGTCTTTGGGTGGCTCCAGGGAACCGACTCAGCTGTGGCCCCTGCTTGCTCAGCCTCCCACCTGAGATCTCAGGAAGTCACGCCAGTACAATGCTTGTTGGGCCACTCCTGCCTGTGATCCGCTGAGCAAAGCTGTTGCTCCTTTTGAGTTCTGTGTAAGCCTCAGACAGAAAGGTGTCAACCTGTAAAGAGATAATCAGAGCTCATTCTCCACAGCCCCATCCAAGTCTTTTCAAAATGATTCTTCCCTTCTTAAAAGACTTTTAAAACCCAAACTACATTCTTATTTTACCTGCTAGCACCCCAGCCTACTCTCCACATTAGGAACATTGGTGGTAAGGGAGATTTCTCCCATTTTGTCTTCCAGGGCTTCAGAGCTAAGGTGGAGAAGAGGCTGGTGCCAACTCAGCTGATTTTTTTATATTTGCTACCTCTAGCTATTGGAATTGCACAGAAACGGGTACAAATGCAAGAACTAACCTTGCAAGTTGAAATTTAATTAGAGGTAGAGTATCTTAAGACTTTACTAACTGGTTCCCCTGTGTATTACTCAGAAATTCTAGCTGTAAGTAACAGAAAGCCAACTTAACTAGTTTAAGAAGAAAAAGGGTGGAATTAGGTATTTATTAGCTCATGAAACTCAGAATCCAGAATAATATTAGTTCAGCTTCAGGTACATTTGGATCCAGGAGCTCAAATAACATTGGGTCTCTACTCTATGTCTGGTTTTTTTTCTTTGTTAACTTCTGTTATGGGCTGAACTGTGCTGCCTCAAAATTTGTGTGTTGAAGTCTTAAACCCCTAGTATCTCAGAATGTGACTGTATTTTGCAACAGGATCTTTAAAGAAGTAATTAAGGTAAAATGAGGTCACATGGATGAGCCCTAATCCAGAATGACTGGTGTCCTTGTAAGAAGATATTAGAACACATACAGACACAGAGGGAAGACCATGTGAAGACACCAGAAGAAGACAGCCATCTGCAAGTCAAGGAGAGAGGCTTCAGAAGACACTGACCCTGCTGACACCTTGATCTTGGACTTCCAACCTCCAGAAATGTGAGGAAGTACATTTTTGTGGTTTAAACCACCCATAAGGCTGTTATGGCAGCCTTAGCAAATGAATACAGCTTCATTCTCAGGCGGAGGCTTCTCATATAACAATAGTGTGGGCCCTGTAGTTCCAAGCTTACATCCCCAGCTCAGCAACCTCAATAGAAAGTCTCTTTTCCCTAACAGACCTCACAAAAATCCCAGAATTGAATCTCATTGGCCTGACTTGGGTAACACATACACTCCTTAGTCAATCCCCAGTCAAAGCGGTGGACAAGGATAACTGAGCAGACCTGAGTCATGGGCCCACCCTTCAAGTCCAGCTGGAGTCAGGCAACCTGCATGACCTGAGAGCAGAGTGGCTGGGGAATGATCAGGGCCAAAGGGAGAGTGGGTACCAAAAGCCGAAACAGCAGGTGTCCACTCTTCCCAGCTCTGATCTAACCCCACCCACAGTCTGTCCTCCACTGAGCTGCCTGAGTTCTTTCTTCATTTAAAATAAGATAATCTCACCCACCTCCTTCAAAGAAGTTTTATTTTCTGGCCCTGCCTGCCTCTCCTCCATTTCCCCCTGCAGCTCCTGGCATGTGGCAGGCATCCTCAACTCTGGGGTTCTTTTTTATCACTTCCTCTACCTCAAAAACTTCCCTATACCTTCCTCAAGACCTAGATTTAATCATCACTCTTTCTGGGAATCCTTCTCTTCTGAGGCAGACCCACCTCTTTTCCAAAGTGGAGCTGGATAGTGTGATGGTAAAAAGCTAGACAGACCACCTAGGTGCAAATCTGTCTGCTGTGTGACCTTGGGTAAGTTATGTACATTTTCTCAGGACCTAGCTCCTAGGATTGTTGATTAAATGAACAATTTAATACATGAAAAACACTTGGAAGATTGTCTGGTACATGCAGAACACCTCACAAGGTTAACAATTATCACCTCATGTCCTGTGCACACTCACTCCCCTTGTTGGGAATGACCTGTTCCGCTTGTGGAGTCCAGGCTCTCCTCTGAGGGAAGGAATGCCTGTTCATCACACTGCATCCCTGGGGCACAACAGGTGTGCTCGTCCCCCAGCACAGAGAGGATGCTCAGAATTTTGAAGCCCTGAACGTAGGCTCGAGTGGGTGAGCAAGCGAGCCAGTGAACAAACACAGAGGAAGAGTCTCGGACAAGGGCTGGAGCGACATCCTCCCTCCATCTGCGATCTTCACAGATCTCCACCTGTCTAGCTCTGGGCCAGCCCTACACTTTCCTCCTGGAAGCCACTTTTCTCCTACCCCCTCCTGATACTTCATTCAGCCAAAGTTCAAACCACCAGGAAAACCCAAAGAACGTCCATGGGATAAATCACCCAATTACTAATCAGGTCCACCCGTCCCACCTTAACCGCTATTTTCCCTGCGAAAAGTAAACACGCCTCCTCCCCACAGCCCCGACAGCGAAGCCATAAAACCCAGGAAGGGCGTGTCTCCACAGCAGCCCGGAAACAACTTGAAAGTGGAAAAACACGATGGATTCAGTGATTCAGGGGTCGTTAAGATCGCCAAAGTGCTTGGTTTCGGCTTTGACGGAACCCATTCCTCACCCCGGTGCTGTCGCTTTTAAGATCAGAGGGGGCGGAGCTTCAGAAGCCGCCTGAGCAGATTCGATGCCTCTGTGCTCCTGAGGTGAGTCAGCCAAGCCCTTGAGCTTCTCTCCAGTGCGCCCCCTACCCACGGGCCTGAGCCTGGGCCTGGAGGCGCCCACAAGTTCAGGGGAACCTGAACAGCGCCCCCCGGAGGAAGCCGGAGCAGCGCTGGGGAAACCAAGGAGCGGGGCCTCCAGCGCCTGGGCGACACGTTTGGCTCTGGCTTCTGGCAGCTAAGGCCGAAAGAGAAACACATCGGGTTGCATAGTTTTCATTTTCCGACAACAGAAAGCATGTTCAAACCTCTGCAGAGACAACATTTTTACTGGAACCAGGCTCCAGAAGGAATGTATTGGGGCACTGCGGGGTAAAGGACATGGGTGACAGGGCAGGCAATCCCTGCAACTGAAGCTTCATTTGTCCCCCCACGTTGGCACCTTCACTCTCAGAACAAATCTTAGCAGGGGCCTGGAGCCACACTCCCCGTTGCCCAAAGCTTTCTGTGTTCTCTCCCTCCTCCTTGGGCACTGAGGACACCCCAGCCTCAAGTCATCCCCTCCGCCTGGCCGCAGCGACAGCCGCTACAGCGGGGCCATGGCAAGCGCTGGGCGGATTTCCTCCCTCACGTCTGTAATGCAGTAATTTGAAGAGGAGACGGCCAGAAGGAGCCCACACACCTAGATGCGCCAGCCCGGGTCAGGCAGCCTCCCACTTTCTCTTTGTGGACAGAACTCCCATCTTGGTAGGCTGTGCCCAGCCCTAGCGGACACGTGACTGATCTAAGAAAAACAGGGTGCCCCCATTCCCCTTTATTTTATGAAAGATTCACTTTCCCATCCTTTGTAGCTAAGGCCCAGTTCTGGTCAAAGAGATGTCTGCTAAGGCCTCTGGGGAAGTCTTTCCTCTCTAGAGAATGGAAAGCCCTTACTTTCTGCCTTGAACATGTTATGTGAAGACATGATGCTCTGAGCTGTGGCAGCCATCTTAAGACTATGGGGTGATAAGACGGGATTCTTATAATCAATACCTAAAGGATGGCAGATTAAAGAGGGAGAGTCCTCAGTGTTAACTTTGAATCACTGAACCAACCTGGGACCAGCTGCCTGCCTGCAGATATCTAGTATGAGATGTCTTTATTGCTTATGCTGCTGTTAGATAGTTATTTTATTACTTGCAGCCAAATACATCCTAATTAATACAACAGGTGGATACACAACATAAGAAAATTCAGCTCTGCAGAGACCACAAGGGACCATGAAAAGAAAGCATGCTATGGATCTGCTCTCATCTTGGGCTCAAACATTTATTTGCTATGCATTCTTGGAAAGTCATTTTTACCACTCTGAGCCCCTGTTTCCTCACTGGATAGGTGGGACAATGACAGGGGAGACTAGATGTGAAAGTGCTGGACACATTTTCTGTCCAGCTGCCTGCCTGCCTACCTTATTCCCTGCTCTTTCCTCAGTGTCTAGAGACGTGCCTAGCTAGCACATGGTAGGCATCCAATCAAGTTTTGTTGAACAAAGGAATAAATTCCTTCCCTTCCCTCTTGTAATGAGGTTTCAGTGGTGTATTAGTTTGCTAGGCCTGCCCTAATAAACTACCACAGACTGGGTGGCTTGAACAACAGGAAGTTATTTTCTCACAGATCTGGAGGCTGAAAGTCCAAGTTCAAGGTGTCAGCAGGTTAGTTCCTTTTGAGACCTATTTCCTTGACTTGCAGATTGCAGTCTTCTTCCTCTCTCTGTGTGCTTGCATACCTGATGTCTCGGTGTGTCCAAATTTCTTTTCTTAGGGTACCAGTCAAATTAAGTTAGGGTCAACCCTTACACCCCCATTTTGACCGAATCACCTCTTTAAAGACTCTGTCTCCAAATTCGGTCCCATTCTGAAGTACTAATGCTTAGGGTTTCCACAGAGGAATTTGGGGAGGGACACCGTTCAGCCTACTGCAACTGATTATTGTCAAATTTGCCCCCCTTCATTAATGCAGATCTTTTCCCCATTCCTACATGTCCATCAGGCATTTGGGCCTCACTCTTGGAATGTTTAATAAAGATTATTTTGATAAACAGTATCATAACATTCATTTGATGAACACCAGAGCAGCCGTTTTCTGCTTTATCCAAAGTACTTTCCATTTCTAATGCCCCGCTGCCTCTTAGGTGGTGTTCTCATTTTGTACATGAGAAAACTAATGCTTAAGAACATCAACTGACTTTCCCAAAGTCATTTGCTAATAGTTGGGTCAAAGGACAAGAGACCAAGTCTGTCTGGTGCTGAGTCCTGGCTCAGCACTGCCTGGCATGTATAGGGGTTGGAGGTGATGGCAGGGACTCCAGGCCTCTTCTTCAAGGAAGCTCTTCTCTGTGGCCACCCTCCCATTGCCCACCCTTCCCTGGCTTCCACTTGAGGCTCCAACCTAACCCCACTTCCCAGCACACCTGCCCTCTCATTTTGAAGGGCTGTACCTCAGAATGCCCTTCCCCTACTCTTCCCAACTTCCTCCCCACCTTTGTGATTCCCCCAGAAATGCCTCCGCTCCCTTCCCCTGAAATCTCTGTGCACAGCCTAGACCTCAACGTGTTAACATTGCCCAGCTCCTGACAGCCTCCCATTTGGGCCAGAACCTGTATCCTCAGCACCAGGCAGGGCAGGGCATGGCAGAGCCTCCCTGCCTGGCCAATGGCTCTGAACTGACATGAAGCCCATGGAGAAAGGGCAGCCTGCTCCCACAGGGAGAGAATGTTTTGGAAGTATACTTTTGGAGAGACTGGGGCAAAGGAGTGTTAATTGGGGGATTGGGGCAGAGGCTATGGGGAGAGGCCGTGGGGGATGATGAAGGGCCGCAGTGGTCACCAGGAGGGAGGGGTTCAGCTGTGCAGACCTTCCCCACCCTAGAAATACAAGGAGCACACTGTACCTCTTGTCTGTGAGCCAGAAGAAGAGGGAGTCCACACCTGAGCATCCCCTCTGTGACTTTCTTCCCCTAGGAAGGGGGAAAATCCTCTTCTCCTGCCAAAGAGAAGGCCTAGTTAGCTTTTGGTAGAGAAATAATGACATCCAGTGGACATCCATGTCATCCTCAGACTCGGGCGACAGCTTCCCCAGGCAGGAGGCCTTCCAGGACTGGGAGGACAGGAGCAGTGAACTGAGGACAGGGAAGCTGAGCTTGAATCCTGACTGCCTCTTAGCTGTGAGGTCTTGGGAAAGTCACTTCCCCTCTAGGGTCTGTTTTCTCCAGGGAAATGGAAGGCCTCCCACAGCACTCCCTGTGAACTGTTAGGCAGAACTGATAAGGATCCTCCTGGGTTTCTTGCTAACAGCAGGTTCAAGGCAGAGCCATAAAGTCAAAAGAGGGCAAGCTTTGGACTCAGACAGCCCTGGCTTTGACCACTGAATTCCCAGACAGAATGACCTGAAGCAAGTAACCATCTCCCTGAACACTTAGATTCCCTGCCATTTCCAACCCCAAGGGTGAGTGCAAAGGCAGCAGCATTCCTGGAATGTGGGAAGGTGGATGTGCCCCCACCGCAGGGGCCTGAGAGGGCTATGCAGATGGCAGCACTGGCTGTCAGCATGAGAGCTGCAAGTCCCCACATTCCCTGGGAGGCTCCAGCAGGCCTAGCCTGTCCAGAAGCTAGAGGTCTCGGAGGTCTTGCGGGCTCCAGGACCAGCACCAGACAGAGGTCAAGGCCACCATTTGGTAGAACAGTCACCAGGCCTGGGCTGGAGAGAAGTGGACAGGTGCTAGGGTAGAGGTGGACTCCCCACCATCATCCCTGGGAGAGGGATGGAGGGACAGTCCTTCCTGAAGGCGAAAAACCAGAGTTGCCAGCCTGTGTTCTAGAAGCAAGGTTGTGTTTTTGCATGTTGGATCTTGTGATTGAGAAGTTTATACTCCTGACATAAGCAAAGCATGTGGACATAGTAAGCTCTAAAGAGAGGTTGTCTGCTTTTCTGTTTCCTTGTCTCTCCATGAAATTAGCTCCTACTTGTGCAAAAACCCCTCCAGTTTCACAGATGTTCTTTGAGAATGAGATCTCATCTCACTCATCTTGATTTCCTGGAGGAAAGGAAATGGGTGTGTGATCCTGATCCTCAGAGGTCAGCCCTGCCTGGGCAGGAGAAAGGTCTCAGTACTAATCATGGTCTCTCTAAGCCCCCAACAAATCTTCAAGGCAGGGTGACCTTTACAAACCAGGAAGCAGGGGCCCTGCATGGGATGGGCCCTGAGTCACACAGGGGCTTGAGTTTGAACCTAGCTTCTGGACACTGCTTTCCAATAAGGGCTCTGGATGGTGTTTGCTGAGGCCTGGCTATGTGCAGGCTTCAGCCCAAGACTTCAGGGTGAAACCAAAAAATTAGCGTTTATTCGGCAAGTGTTACAAGCAAGTATTATATCGTGCTCCATATCATTTATTCCTCACAAAATTCCTCTGATTTACCCTTCTCTCCTCCTCCCTTCCCATTCTGCAGATGAGGAAACTAAGACTCCCAGAGGTGACGTGAATCCCCTAAGTTCACTCAGTGTGGAAGTAGCAAGGCCAGGACTCAGGTTGCAGATGCCAACATTCTTGTGCCTAACCACTCTGTGATTCCAGGTGAGACCTTCATGCAGTAACAGAAGCCAGATACCACCTTGACAGGTTATGATGTCCTCACTCCAAGATCTTTCCTGCCCCACTGTGCTTGCCCAGTGCTGTCATCATCCCTGTCATGGTCACCTACCTGCCTGAGATGTGGCATATCCTTAAGCTGTAAATGCTATCAAATGTTTCTTTTCTTTTCCCTTCCTAACTAGCTCTGTGATACTGGGCAAGTGCCTCCACCTCTGTGAGCCTCAGTGTTCCCCTGAATGGGGCCTGTAAGTGCCATTTACAAAAGCACTGTGAGCTGTAATTTTCACCCCAAGCCCTGCTCCCCTCTGAGCACACCTGTGAGACGCCCCCCACCCCTACTGCCGGGATCCCAGCCACCAGCTCTCCTGTCCTGGCTCCTAGCACAGGCCCCTGCAACAGGCTAGAACAGCTGCCCGAGAATGCCATGGAGCTCTGAGCCGGGGTCCTGCCAGCACAGAGTTTAAACAAACACAACTGGGCAGAAACGAAATGGTCCGTCGGTTGTAAAGGCTTATTATGCCTCATGCTCATGAGCTCAGGTTTCATGATAATCTAAGCGATGGTTCTCCTGAGGAGGATTAGGGAAAATGGCAGGGGGCTCTGAGGGAAGCAAGGAGAAACAGCCATGTACCCAGGGCAAGCACTGCCAAGGTGGCCCAAGACAGCCAGTAAACCCAAGATGGCGGGTGGTGGGGATGGGCAGTGATGGGGGCACTGGAGGAAAGGAAAAGCGGGGCTCTTCCCAGCTGTTCGAGTGCTTAAGTCACACCTTCACCAGTGACTAGTCTTTCCTAAATTTGTGGGGAAGAACTAGCTGAAACCCCAGCCTCGTGGTTAGAAGCTGGGTGGGGGGGGAATGCCACAGGGAGGAGGACGGCAAGCTCAGATGCCCTCCAAGGCCACGCAGGTAAAGCATAAAGAGCATGAAGGAAACAACAGAACACACCGGTGAGCCGTGACCGTGGCACTGAGCCTTGGTGTTGGGAAGGCAACAGGAGTGGCGGGAACGGTGGAGCTGGGGACAGCTGGGACTGAGCTGTGAGCCCCAGCCAGTCTCTACCCAGCAGGAATGCGGGCCCTGTGTTGCCAGTCTTCTGATTTTTTTTTTTTTTCAAGAGAAGTAGGAAAGAATGGATTGTTTTTTAATGTGCAGGTTCCCAATTTTTAAACATTGGCAACCGATTCAAATGTTTTTTGAAGTGCTATGTGGGCCAAACAAAATATAACTGTCAGCCAAATTGGACTCACAGGCCACAGGTTTGCAATTTCTGAAGTTTTATGTCATGGTAAAGGCAGTGAGAGCTTCCTGGATTCAAACCCCAGCTCTCCCATCTTCTGGTGGGGTGACTTTGGACATGTCACTTAGCCTCTCCAAATCTCAGTTACTACATCTGTAAAATGGGTACCAGGGTAGCATCTACCTGATATGCTATTTGAGAAAATTGTATGAAATTATGTCATGGAAATTCCTTGGCAAAATGCCCAGCACCTTGTAAGCCCTCTAGAAATGTTAGCTATTATTAATAATACATCCAGGGAAATGAGGATAGAAAAGCAGCAGCAGATAAAGGAGAAGCCAAGAAAATGGACCAAGCAGGTAAAACAGGGTAAAGCCAGAAAATGCCCATTAAGCCTCCCCTGTCCTACTGTGTCAGGAAGGCCCTTAGGGATTACTGTCACAAACTGGCACCAGATTGAACAGGTAGGGCAGTGACCTGAAGGGTGGTGGCCCTCTACTACCCCTCCACCTCTTTCCAGAATATCAACAAAGAGATCTAGTGGAAACCTCTGGATTGTTGCAGAGCAAGGTCGTTAGGGAGGGTGCCTTGCAGGAGGCAAAGAGTGCCCCATGTCTTTGGTACGGCCACTGCCCAGCTGTATGGCTTTGACTATGACTTTGACTTTTCATCTTCCTCTGAGACTCCACTTAGCCATCTGTAAAATGCAATGACAGCTACCTTTCAGGATACTGGTAGAGATTAGCAATTATGCAGCATAGGACCTGGTAAAGAGTTCACATTCCACAAGTGGGGTCTGGCATTATTGGTTACTGTGTTTTAGCTTTTATTATTAATGGGGCAATAAAGGTGTAAGGTTGGAGGTACCGGAGGGAGGAAAGCGAGGACAGTGCAAGCGGAACAAAGACAGCACCAAATACCTCTAGGCCATATAAGGAAAGAATGGACAGCTCTTCCTGGATTCCAGTCCTGTGATGTGCCGACAAACCCCGGCCAGATGCAGATCCCCTCCATCCGGAAGAAGGAGACCTCTGGCTGTCTATCACCTGACCCTGAGCCAATAAAAATTCCCCACATACCACTGGTGCAGCCCACTTCCCCCCTCCCTTCCCTGTGCTTATAAAAACTTCCTGCCTATCTGGTTGGGCGTGACTTCTCCAGCCTGTGTCTGTGCAGACTGGTGAACCTCGCCCGGGATTGCGCTCAAATAAACTGCCTGGCCTTTTGTTGCCTCTTGTCGCCTGCTCATTTTGGTTAGAGTTTATCTTACAAAAGGTGCTTGCCTGACCAGCATCCACTGGCCGCTCTTCAAATAACCAAGGGAGAAGCATCCCTTCACCCTGGCCAACTGAATCGTTCAATTGGTGTTGGCCTCCCCTGAGGCTCCAGGGACAGGCATGTGAATCAGGTATAGCTAATGAGAGTAGCACAGTCTCCTGGGCCAGCTGGGAATCAGAGCCAGGACTTCTATTCAAGCTGCTGGGGAAGAGAAGCTCTCCCCTTTCCATCAGATCTGTTGGAGTGAGGAGTAGGCCAGAGCTGCTGGCAGCCATCTCACCACCACATGGGAGAAGCCTGTCAAAGGAAGGAGCCAATCCCGAGGAAATCAGAGCAGAGGGTTGGAAAAATTCTTGATTAACATTGCTTAAGCACCTGGATCCAGCTGTGCCTGAGGCTAACGCAATGTTGGATTATTCCATTACATGAGCCAAAAAATTTCTTTTTTTTGCTTAGACTATTTTGAATTGAGTTTTCTGTAACTTGCAACCAAGAACCTCAACAAATACACAAATCTTAAGGATGAGTTAAGAAAATTCCCAAAAGGGAGAGCTTATTAGTTGAGAGTTCTTAGAGACTCTCCAACCATGCTCTGAGTATACAGCACTATTTTCTTTCTTCCAAGAGTAGAGTAATATGCTCTGAAAGCCTTTCACAGACTTGGGTCCAGCGTTCCTTAAAGCAATGGCTCTCCACCAGGGTGCCTCTGCCCCCAGAGGACATTTGGCAAAGTCAAATGTCTGGAGACAGTTTTGGTGGTCACAGTAGGGTAAGAAGGAGGGAGTCTGTATGCTCCTGGCTTCAGCGGGTAGAGGCCATGGATGGTGCCAAACAACCTACAGTGTACCGTCAGTGCCTCCTCTATCCAGCAGTGACC